AATTGGCGCCACGTAGCGAAAAGAAGAAACGACTGGCGCGCTGTTGTTAACTCGGCTATAATCGCGTAAGCGGTGTCTACGCCAATCAAGAAGAAGAAAGATGACGAGCCGAATTGACTAACGAACGTCTACTTGTCTGTCCGAATACTCATCCTACAATTTAACATTGGTTATAAAAGTTTGGAGGGACATCGGTGTTTTAAGCATTTTATCATAGCATCAACGAAGATATCGAAATAGCACTTCGCATAAATAGTGCCTTCAAAATGTGGTATATCTGATCTGAAATCATGGGGCTAATTTTATCGGTTAGTAGATGAGTATAGGACATGATTAATCGAATCATTTGAAAAATAAAAATAATAATTTTTCGTAAACTCGCAAAGAGTATGATTTGAGATATGATATAAGGTCCTAGTTTACATATGTATGTATGTATGTACATAACCTCACTTTTCATGAGCGAAGGAAAAACGATTTAATAGAAACCTTTCAAATTGAACAAATTTTTATTTTGARTATAAAATGGTTATATATTGGTTATTATATCTAACAGCGATATTCGATTTTATTTTGATGATACCTTGTTTTGCATATTATGTGACAATGTAGCATTACTAGTTTATTAAAAAGGCAAAAAGTTAACAATTTGAAGCGTGCTCAATGCTTCTATACTGTTCAAAAATTCCGTGAAATATCCAATAGTATGAATTAAAAATAACATTTTCATCACAGATATACTAGAAAATTAAAATTTTGTTGATAAATGAAATTTGATGCGACGCCACACAATTAATCACATCTATTAAAAAAATAATAAATAAATAAAAAGAAAACCAACAAATATGAGCACGCCTATGATTGGCTTAGCTATATCCATGCTTACATACATATTTACATATTTATGTGTTGAATACAATGCTCGCGACAGACTGCAAACGACATCTGTCAAATATTAAAATACACACGTTCTTATGGACAGACCTATTTTGATACCTGCACGACTACACGACGGCAGGCCGACAGTTGTCGTTCTCGCTAACTTCAATTTTATCCTATATTTGCCAACCACAGTAGGACGACAGTAGAGTTGACAGTAGAATGGAAGATAGAGAGATGAGGTAGAGTGGTGATGCCACTAATATGTAAAATGTAAAATTACTCCAAGCTCTAAAAAACCTAACGTTATTTTACAAATAAAAGCATAAAATAGCTCTGTTACATCATTTATAATAACAATTGATAA